TGCAGATACTCATTCATTATCAAAATACTCCGGAAGGCATTCCCATCGTTTTCCGAGTCTGAGCACAACTTTCTCCCTGGGCTGTTGTTTCACAGCGACACAGGAATCCCACCTCCTTTATCACCTGCTCTGCATGATGCAACGTTTCATCTTCAAATAATCTAAGTTGGGGAAAAAATAGTAAAATACTAATTTTCTCATTTCTCTGAGTCTGCAGAGCGAGTCAAAGCTCTCTTCTCCGTCCTTCTCCATTTCTGAGGTTTTTGTGAGTAGATAAGGTTATCCACCTCCTGCTGTTGTGTTTGGCTCTGATGTGATCCATTATCTCACCTGCTCCCACCCCTCAGGACATTCCTTTTGCAAGAACGCAGGTGAGCACACATCAAGTACATGAACATCTTTTTCATTGTTCCTCATTTAGGAACGGAGAAATGCAGAGACGGGAAATCACTTTCAAATGAGTTATTTAAAGGTTTAAAAACAAAACTGAAGAGGGAATTTGGAGTGGTTTGTTAATGTCAACAAGACTCTCAAGTCCTGGAATGTCTTCCCTATTTATGGGAAAGATGTCATATCTGTCGTTGAATCTGTGAAGCCAACATGGAAAGATATGATCTCATTTCCAAATCAGGCCCCAACTTTTCTCTCCCGCATGTCAGGTTTCTGTCTGGATCCAGACGCTACAAGGACTTAGAGAAAATAGAGATTTTTTTTTTATTATTATTATTATTAATATTATTATAGTTTTAATGGGCCCAACTCAGGTACATCATGAATTGTCACTTTACTTTTTATTTGTGATTTTATTTTGAAAAGACCTTTAGAAATAAATTCTATTTGCATTCAAACTGAATCCTTCAGCCTGGTTTCATCAAAGGAAGCTAGAAATAATAATTGTTCACATAAGCATTAAAAACGGTTGCACATAAACACGTTAGTCTTGCTGAAGGCGAACTGGTTCTGATTGTGCTGAAGCACCCAGATGCAGGTGTAGGGCTAACAAACGTATTTATTTTGGGGGCTTTTTAAGCTAAATATGCTACACTACATTTGACCAATAAGATGTGAATTTCTATATAAATACGGAAATCCAATCTGATTGGTCTTTGAATGTTTAACCAGAAGATTTAGAATTCTTTGCGTATTCAGGGATCGTAAGACACTTCGTATTAATTCAAGAAGAGAGTGTAATGTATGAAATGACTGTTTTCCACCAAAAGTCATTTTCCCCCTCTCCTCTGACACAGAACTAGTCTGCATGAGATGTGGCCTCAAGGTCTCATGCATTTGCTTCTAAACTGCTTCCTTTCCAGCTCAAGAGAAGAATGAAGAATGGACTCTCCTTTTACTTAATCAAAGAACTCCATTTTAATAAAGCTAATCAAACAAAGTGTTAGTCAATAATAAGATGTGACCAATCTGTGAAATCAAAATATTCATTACTTTATTATAATCCTACGGAATATAATAAGTAATATGACTTTAAATGTTTCCACTAGGACTGATCTCACGTAGCGTTAAGACATGACACATTGCTTCACTGATCCAATCAGAATCTGCCAGATCTGACGGAGGCGGGGTTTTGGTGGTGTTTGGTAAATCTGTCATCTTTTCATTCGACCATAAATCAAAACATCCGAAGTATAAAACTATGCCCACGTCATCTTTAACGCCAGTTCAAAGCGTTCTAGAGAAGTTGTCGGAGTGGCCAATCCGTAACTTTCCTCTTCAGCCGAAAAAACCAACCACAAGCTGGATAAAATCTGTTGCTGTTCCAACTGCTGCAACGGTTCCTTTCAGAATAAAAGCTGAACCATCATGACCCCATTTTGGGTCTCGCTAGATGCCGATAAACTGTTGTGACCCGGAAGTATCTCAAGACTGGTGGTCGGCAACCGCTGCTTTTCCTACCGGCTTCGGTTCCAGAGAGGGTCCGGCTGGACCTCGACATTCCTGATCTAACGGGGACTTCCAAAAGGGTACGTAGACAGATGGAATGGCGTCAAATGTGTTTATGAATCTCCTAATCAAAGCTTAGCGCGATGACATCACCTTCACTTCCCACCAGAACTAATCGTTTCTTCGGATTTGCTGGTTCTGAGCAACATTCCACACTACACCATTCTGTCTCATTCATCTTAGTTACACCATACATTTAGTGTTTAAGTTAGTCTAGTTTTAATTTGTTTAGTAATAAATCTTTAGCTTTTAAAACTTGACTCTCTTCTGCTGTCTGATTTAATACGAAGGTGTTATATAATCCCTGCAATAAAAAGTTTCAATCTTCTGGTTAAAAGTACCCACAGATCCATAAGGTTGATTTCATATCTACTATGGAATCTTATGACTTAAGGCTCATTAAATAACATGTAAATTAAACTATTACAACAGTCAAGTTTATAAAAAGTAAGAAATTTACTTTCTAAACAATTAAAAACATGACAACTAGGAACACTTTATGTGATGAATGAATCTAAGTGGATGGAATGTGAGGTGTGATGTTATCAGAACCTTCGTATCTGGAGAAAGTGAGTTCTGAGTGGGAGTGAATTTGGTCTGCTACAATCTATAATTTATGGTTTATAAAACCACATCAGACGCAATCTGTCGAGTCCAAGTACCCTTCGTCTGAGACTTTTTTTTTGGATCCGGGATGTCGGGGAGTCCATGGACCCCACAGTACCGAAGTCCGTAGAGAAACCGCAGTACGACCGGGTCAGTCCAGAGTCGTCTCCAGGTCACAACAAACTGGTGGACTTGTTTTGCGTCTATGGAGTAACTCTTAAGGAGTTGAAGCTGGGTCAGCTTTGTTCTGAAGGAACCGTTTGCGGTATCAGCTGTAGCGTGCAACAGGTTGACAGCTTGTCAAAAGATGCGCTGGGTTAAAGAGGTTTTGCTTCGGATGGCCGGTCCGAAGCCTTCTCCAAAAACCGACTCACTCAGGAAGTGAGTTCTGTGCAACAACGGCCATATTTTGACTACATGGCCAACCAGAATTTGACATGTAAAGGGGTTTTACCAAACAAACCGCAGAACATCCGATAGAAGGGCTCTGATTTGCGGATCAGGAAATCTCTATGTGCAGTGACGTTTAACTTTAACTTGCGTCATGGAGATATGGTGAGCGTGTGTGAGCTTATCAGTAGATAGTGATTCACTTGTTTAATCAACTTACTGATCATAACATAACATTCATTTCAACCTCAGTAATTTAAGCACAGATTAATCACAACATAATTCTTCAGCCGTTATTATTCATTCATTATATGATTATTTTAACACTCCATTATTCATAACGCTTCATTGTTATAAAAGTTCCTTCTTGCTTTGTGAAGCAAAGCAGTCTGAGATAAGCGGAAAGCTTGAGAGGGACCTTGGCCAAGCAACAGCATCTTTCTTGCAGATTAAAGTCACCAGTTAAGACTTATGTCTCCAAATGGCCAGATACTGAAGAGGTCAGACTGTAGGTGGAAAACTGACCATTCCTGGAGGCTACACAGGTCCGGTCTATCCCAACCCTAACCCAGCCCGATACCCGCATGGCTGCATCCAAACCTAAATGTGACATTAGCATGACAAAGCAGCTTTTCCTGTCAGTGTTATGATGTAAAAGTTACATCTGATTCATTTATAACTCAGCTAATCAAATGTTTTCAGCATTAAGCTGATGTGGTGCAAAATTACGACTTAGTTTTGTTTACATGGAAAGTTAAAGTAGTTTTAAATCACCATGACAACGCTAAAGGCTAAAAGCTTGATTTATTGTCTACTCGACCAACTCTGCCCCGTAATGTCTTCATGTCCGTCTCCAGCTTCTCATTACTCATGTTTCTCTCACTTACACCATAAAGGGACAGATAGTACATTGAACTTGTACTTTTTGGGAGTATATAGAACAAATATTCTGAAATATGCACAGCAAAAGGATCAGACATGTAATCTTGTGCTATTGCACCTACCTTTATGAAACTAAAGCCAATAACACGTTTAGCTCCAGGGTGTCCCTCACCAAGATAACCATCCACCCCTTCGACTGGGTCCCGGTGTCCTACGCTGGAATGTGCACCAGAAGGATCTAACATCCTCATCCAGGAATGCTGGGAATGAAAGAAATGACATAAGTATTTAACTGGGGGCAAATATATGAACTTTCTAGAAGGACTTTGAAGCCTGAATGTTTTTTATGTTATTAATAACCACAGATGTCAAAGGACACGTTCCTTGGATGTGATTCTGGAAAAAAGATCTATAAATGTATATAATCCCAGATGCTCCTGTCAGATTATCTGTCAATTCATCCAGATTGATGATGTTTCTGAATTTAGTTATTTACCATCAGCTGTAAAGTGTTTCTGTCTTTTAGCAATGCAACTTGCTGCCCTCGAGTTTCTTATTTAAAGAATAAACCCTGGAAAGCTAAACTATGGAGATCAGAGTCTATCTTACAGTTTTTTGCGATTGCTAAAACGCGTTATTCAAAACTGTACGTTTCTTTCATCATCACACACAAATGACTAAACCCTGGCATCCCTTTGCAAATCAACTCTGCCATCAGATCTTGCAACATGTTCACAAAATGAAACGCGTGCCTTCATTTGGTAAACACAGCCATATTTTCACACGACACACACACACACACCATTCACTGAATAAACACAAGCAGCTTTTGGCTGAACACTACCAAGCATGGAAAGAACACTGAAGAGCAAAACTGAAAACACAATTAGAGAAATTGAACACACTGAATCTATTACAATGCCCACTTCTCTCACAGACAAACATTAGACATCACACACACTTTGAGACAAAAAATTTTGTTTTTAAATCCCCCCCGGCATTTAAATCTAAGGCTAAGAGGTACCCTCTGACGTTAGCTGGTACATTATGATGTCACCATGTCGTTGAGAGCCTGTGTGTGTGTATTTGTTAGCGGCTCCGCCCTCTCGGTCCGCTAGGCAACAGCATTTGTTGCTGTTTTCAAACAAGAAGTGGGAGTGGAGTAATACTCTGGTAGGGGGTGACTTTCTCTTTAAATGTTTTGAAATAATAATAATTGATAACAAAATGTGGGAAACAAAGAATAAAGGGACCTAAAACAATATGACTGCAACCCAGAAATGTGTCCCAAAACACTGTTTAGGAAACAGTGCTGTAGTCTATTGAATGTTGTATTACAATACACATGGAAAATACATTTTCATACCTGTTCTCCATCCTGAATGTCCTTTTGATGGTCAGCACTGTGAAACGGCTGAGGTTTGGCTGGACCCTCTGGCCAGCCTCCCTCATGGTCAACCCATGGTTGAGCACATGGTCCAATACAGTGACACGAATCTCATTGGAGATTCGGATTCTCCTTCTTCGCTCCCTTGCTTCTCCTTGTTGTCCTCCTCCTCCTCCTCCCATACGTACCCCACTCCTTCTCTGCTGTCTGTTGTCTCTGTTCTCCATTGCTCATCAAACAGAACAGAGCGTCAAGCCTCCTTTTATGCTGCAGTCCCTGATTGCAAATTGCTCACCAGACCCGAAAGTTTAGAGATTTGAATATTTGTGTGTTGTTGATAGAAGCTTTGAGAATTGATGTGAGAAGTGTGTGTAAACCTGAAAATTGTGTCTGCTGTGTTTTGACAGCAAGGTAACGTGAAATTGACATCAGAGTGTAAAGGAGGAAAATCACAGTTCTAATATGATAAGGAAATCTTAAGTAGTGATAAATTGAGTCAAGCGATTGGGAACAGAAGTAGAGGTTGTGAAAATTGAGCCTCATTTTTGCTTTTTGGTTTTAGCAATCGAAAAAAAAAACTGTAAAACACAAGAAGGAAATTTCTTCCATTAGAAATACAGGGTAATGTCGCCACGTAGTGGCTGATAAAACAAACGTCTTCATTCCAAGGCTAAAGGTTTATTCCAAACATTTATCTAATACATAAATAAATATAAGCTTAAATTAGGAAAATCTTAACGAACATAATTTAAAAAACAAAAAGCCATCCTGTAAATAAATACCTGACCGACCTGAGTAGCTAGATTTCCAGTCTGGGAAAAGTATGGTGTTTTCTCCAGTAACGTATTGGTCACGTGGCTAAAAGATTCCCAATCAAATATTTCATTGCGATGCTAAACTACTGAGGATAATCCGTTTTTTTGCCGTATTTCACAAAATTGGGCCTACATATTTGTAATGAACGTTTGGGTCTACGTCACGGGACCAAATGACTATGCTTGTCCAGTTTTATTTCCTTATTTTTCTTTCTAAACTCTTTTTGTGTCATGTCCTGTTCGCTGTTCTCAATAAAGCTTTTTGAAAACGAAACAGAAAAACAGCGTCTGTTGCCAGGGTAACGACGTTTCCTCTGGATTCCTTCTCAGAATATTTTGTCGTGTGCTCTATACTCGCCATTTTGGCAGCCAGAGATAAATGTAATTTCTATTTTAATAAATAAAAATCTATTTTAATCTCCATCTTAAAAATGGCGGCGGAAGGAGATGAGTTTACGTTTGCTCGGACGTTTTCTTTTAGCCCTCTTCCCACGAAGAAGTTCAGTTTCCTGCAGGATAAAAACACTTCGGCGCTTTTAATGAAATGGTGACGTGATACGTTTGTTCACACAGAAAATTAGTGATCATGAAGTGTTTTCTAACAGGTCTGTGTTGCGTTCAGGTCCATGTTGGGGAGGATTTCAGTCCACTCTTACAGTTTTGACAATAACTTCTGTCCTCACAGCAGCGAAAGGTTTGCACTGGTGAGAAAATGGACATTAAATACTTAAAAATGCTTAAAATTTAACATTTTAAAAAGTTTTAAACATGGCTGGAGACCGGAAGTGGTAAATACTCAGCATAATAGGTCCAATTTAACAATTTATTACTTAAAATATGTATTTTTTTTTCCTGACACTGAACGTTTTTCCTTGTCTGTGATAGTAGAAATACCATTCACCACAATAAACACATTTTAGGGAATATAAGATAAAACACTGTGGGAAATGACGACTGAGTGATTACAGGGAATGAAAAACTGACCAAATACAATAAAAAATGTGTTCAAGTTTAATTTACTTCCAGAATACTAATGTTGAAGTTAATCTGAAAATCTGCATTGGGTTAAGGTGAGATCGATCAAAAATATGTCAACATTAGTTTCCACGGGTCTTCAGACATCTCTTTATGAAATGAACCAACACTGATGTTAGCTCAATCAGAATTACTTTTGTGATACAAGTGAGTTAAAATACCTTTTCTGTATCAGATATATATATATATATATATATATATATATATATATATATATATATATATATATATATATATAATTCTCCTGATGTCACCCTCACGTTGCTGTGCAGAGTTTCTTCAGGGACCCTGAGGTGATTTCCAGTCTGAGAAACATGGAGTCCAGAATCCCGGTACCCTTTGGTATGGCACCCCCACCAGAACCTTTCTGATTGTTGATTATTAACATCAGATCCATGCAAAACGTTTGAAACGTGTGTGTGTTTCAGACAAGCCGGTGGTGTCGGTCAGCGTGGAGCACGTGCCATGCACTAAGACCTCCATGGAGCTGTTTGATCCGATCTACTCCTGTGGAGTCCTGAGACCCTCTGGAGACGTGGTTAAATGTTTCAGCGACGTTTATACGGACTGCGACGAACTCCAGCTGGTAATCCTGTCTCCTCGATCCGCCTGTTTTCACGCAGTCACTACAAGACTTTTTTGTTTCTCCCAGATGTTGCAGGACGAGGAATCGAAACATTATCACGTGGTCGAGATAAAAGAGCGCAAAGAGTTTCTGTTTCGCATTTTTAAGCATCTGCGCCTTGGAGGGGAATTGTGTCAATACGAGGACCACATCGACCCGTACATCAGCACCACTAAACAAATCTACAAAGACCTGATTAGGTGAGCACAACCAGGCTTTTTGTTTACTGCACTGGTAATGTGCTTTTAGAAAACACAATACTTAATGATTGTTAATGATTATAATGGGTTACGCTGGGTTTTTCATGAAGGCTGAACATGAAAACAATCTCCTACACCTATCTCCTGCATTAGCTTCTGATTGAAAACAGACGGTGAAACTCTGGGATTAGAAAATCCTGACAGATCTACATCACGCCGTGAGTTAGACTTACCCATATTGACTCACGATGGGGAAGGCTGTCATTGGTTTAGCGCCCAGAATCAGCATAGAACGTCTCTTTCAACAGAAGCTAACCGTTAGCATCAGCAACTCAAACACACAGCCGAAGCTCCTCCAGGCTTGGTATTTGTGGAGATAAAACATCCTTGTCCCCGAGCAAACAGAGTTGGAGTCACGTTGCTTTTATCCAATTCGAGGCAAGATGTCTAAATATCAGGAAGTAAACTCCAAATCCTCCCGTTTGAAGCTCAGCTTTGATGTTACAGACTTTAGTTTGTGGGTTTTTTTGTGCCCTGAGTTGTACCTGCTCATTCACCCCTGCTCTAGTGACCACTGCAAATGTATCGATTAAATGAGTAATCTACTCCTTTAAATATTTGACCTAGATTTTCACTGAGAGTCAACTAATTTTATTTTACAGTGTGCAGAAGGATGCTGACACAAAGCGGATCTGTGTTGTTTCCACCGTTCTCAAAGTGAGCGCTTACGTAAGTGAACCGTTCCAGGTGGAATTAAACAAAGTGATTTTAAAGAAAAGCCTTGCGGTGGAGGCCTCTGCAGCTACGAAAAGGAAACGAGGAAAAAAGCTAAAACCCAAGAAAGACAGGAATTATTATACATCCACTCATTTGTGTTTCAGTTTTGATTCCAGCTCCAAAAAAAAAAACCTCAACAAATCAAGAAAAACATATAATCAATTATTTTGTCATTTTTCAGGTTGCAACAATGCTTTTATTTTGTCATGCCTTCCATGCACTTCTACCTCCCCTTCGGCCTGAACTCCCACGCCTGTTTTAGAAGTCAAAGTAAATAAAGGTGGCAGAACGAGGGGAAAATACACCGGCCGCAAATGATGATGCAAATCAGAAATAGCCTCTAATACTTAATAATGTGATCCTCAGCTGCTCTTTGCTGCAGTTTCCAGTAATAATTTCCCTTACGGTTCTATTTCCAAGCATCAGCGCTCCTAGGGAAAAAAAAATCCTCCCAGCTTGGACATCCGGCCCTCACTTCTGTGTGTTTTCTTCACAAGATCAAGTAGAAAGTTAGGTGTAACTTGTTGGTGTCTGCACGTGTTATAAAAATAATGTCTGAATATTACAAACATATTTATTTGATATAATTCATAAAATCATGTAATTTAGCCACAGCAGTAGATACTAACTCGATAAAAATCATTAAAGTCACAATTAAACGGTTTAGCTCTGCCCCCTGCTGTTTAACATTAGTATCTGCAGTAGGGCAAGACCATCAGATACATCAGTCGGCTGTTCTATTGGGCCGATATTTACCAATTTTATACATCACATCGTCTGATATACCTCTTTAGTAAAGACGATTTAAAGTCAGGCACAGCCTGATGCCTAATTTTATTTAAATGTATATTTATGTTCCCCAAAATCCTGCTTAACAAATATTTTAAAACATTATTGTCAGCTCACATTTCTTCAGATTCACCCGTTTTTTTATTTCATACTTAGTCGGTTTATTGATTTGTTTAACTCTGGTTAAATGTTTGATTTTAACACAGTGAACAACCGTTTCAGCCGATTAAGGTGCCAAAACGTCGAGCACCCACGGTTGTAATGAAGTGACATTTGATCATGTAGAAAAGGTGGAAACGTCTAGATATCAGCCATCGGCTGACCATGACCTCCACATATCGGCACTGGTATCGGTAATAGTAAAACCCATATCGGTCTACCTCTAGCCCGCAGTCTCCTTAAAATATGAAGTCATGAAAGTTGTCGTAAAATCAAATGTTCAATACTTTTAAGCATTGTGTAAATTATATTTTTCCATCATTTTACACTACAGAGTGTAAATAACTAGTTCCACACGCTGTAAAAACTCAAGATTGTATGAAAATATAGTAAAAATGTTTAACATGGGGTTTTATTTGTCTCGTGTATCTTCTGTAGGACGGATCTGGGCGATGCTTCCCCGGGACTCCAGAACAGGAGCAGACGTTTGCTTATATGATTGTGGATCCCTTTAAACGACACGTGAACTTATTCTCCCATTTCTACGGCGTGGGGAACTTCTCACCGTGAAGAGCTGGAAACAATCCCGTTTTTGGATTTCATGATGGTTCGTTACATTTATAGAACAACGGTGAATAAAGACACTGAAAACATTCAGTCCAAAGAGCTTTATTGAAACAAATAAATTAATAAGTTAGTGTTCTAACTTTATCCTCAGCAGAAACACATCTCTGTACCTTTTTTCAGTTCTGTTTTGGAAAGATCAAACATAGATTAGATTAGAAAACAAACCAGTGCCGCGTTTATATTCAGCCAGTTGCTTCATCAACTGGACTTGGAAGACTTGGTGTTTTGCTTATTGCTACGATCGATTCGTGCTTCGTTTGTTCCAACACCTACAGTAAGAGAGCAGCTACGGTGTAATGAGGTGGAATGTCGAACGGCAGCAAGTCAGTGGAAGATGGATGGATGGTCGAACGTCACGAAGAGATAAGAGAACGTGCAGATTGATTCATGCATAGCATTCGGTCGGTAACTGTTTCTCCTAATCAGTTTCCTAGACTAGCGCCCCCTAGTGGCCTCAGAGGTAGTTGTGTGGAAGCCATACGGATCTATGTAACATGCCTATGGAAGGACGCGTGCCTCCAGCCTCCACATCTGAAGGGTGTGACGATACGGGACGAGTGTCCGGCTCGAGGGACGATGATATGCCGAACGTACAGTAATACACTCTGTAAAAGCCTCAATCCTCAGGACCGCTCTTCAGTTAAAGGCTTTGCAAACACTAATAAAAACAAGCATCCTCTACGAAGGACTTGTCTTCAAGCATTTACGACGACGGAGACAGAAAGCTGCACCACTTCCTTTACAGAGCAAGGGCAAAGAAGGCACAGGGTATTTGCATTCATGTTTCCTAAGATTTCTTTACTGAAAGACATCCTTTGAGTTTTCCTTTCCCTAATGCCATGGCAACCACAAAAGAACAGCATGCAATACGGCGATCTTGCATTAATTATCAGGAAGCTCTGTGTTCTAGTAGAAATAACAGCAGTTTATTCTAACGATGCCTCTAATCTGCTATAATTCAGCCCAGAGAATAAAGCTGCCAAACCTTTCTCTATGAAATGAACGAAAAACGTACAAATCTCTGCAGCAGCAGCTCTGAAGGACTTTTCCTGACAGCAAGCGCCACCAGATGGAGCGATGGAGTACATTCACGGGAACGTGGAGGTCCTGAGTCAGCCGGGGACGGAAGGAACTTCTCTGGCATAAACGCCACGGTCAATAAAGTCGTTTTTAGCCAGCTATGTGCAGACAATCAAATACATACATGTGTGCAAGAACCTGATTGGTTGTGTGTGATATAAGTAGTCAAAAATGCCTCATTTACCTACAAAAAAATCGATTTCAGTACATTAAAGATAAATCCTGCTGTTACAAACCCAAATCATAGAAAAATACTACATTTTTTACAGGGTACCCAAGATCAAGTGCATGAAAACAAATATAACTAAGTTAGGCACGGAAACAACAAAAACATGTTATATAAGTGCCAAAGTATTTAAGTAAAAGAACATTTTTGTTGTTAATGAGTCTGATTTGAATTATTTTTGAGCAAACACCTTCAGAAGTAAACCCCAGTGACGCTGTTGGGTGTGGTTATTTGTTCTGACGCGTGCATCGATGGGATTAATGATCTGGGATCCATGCATTATGTCTGGATTCCTTGTTTGCTGTGTAAATTGCGCAAAACCGGCCACGGCGATTCTGCAGCTGAATGTGACATCTGTGTTTGTGGAGTGTTACTGATTACATGACCTGCTGAAATCGTGAACCTGAGGATAAACTTTTGTGCGATTTGAGTTAAAGGCTGGGGTCCGTAGCATGACGCCATCAAGGAGAGGAGGAGGAGATTTAACTGAACAGTCCCTGCTCCCTCTCCCCTTCTGGAAGGAGCTGAAAGCAACACCTCATACTGCACACAAACAGCCTTGTAGAGCGAACCAACGTGTAACGTTTTCGATGTGTTCCTGCAAAGTCACACCTGAACTATCTCCTCAGACTTCATCGGGTTCTGCAGGAACTGTTAATCACTTGTTTTAATCAAATCTCCAGTGTTCAAGAAGGAAAACGTCTAAAACCGGCAGGAATCTGGTGCTCGCGATGCTAGCACACCCCTGCTAACGATACAACAGGCTAAAACAATAGTCTGATTTAGCGTAAGGCGGAATGCTATGCTAACCACTTAGCTCCAAAGCACAAAAGATAACTTTCTTTTCATTCCCTTCCCTCCTCTTCCACAGTTAGGTTGAAGTTTACAGACTGTCGTGTTAGCATTCAAGCTAGGTTGGAGTGCGCCACCCCGTAGTGCATGCTGGGAACCGGGGCGCAGGATTAGGAGTCTTATAGCCCTTCCACATTAGCGCCGGCTCCACTCTTCTCCACTCTGCCCAGCCCGCCCCAGCCTGGTCGGGTTGATTACAAACTCATCTTTAGGAATGGGCGGTCTCCAAAATTGGTGTGAAGATATCAGTGATGCCATGAGCACATGTCTGAGCACGTGGGCGTGCGGAGAAGTCCGCGGTGTCTCCCTTAAATAAACAAAGGCTGCTGTGAGCAGTGTTGCTTTAGGAGACTCTGATATTGCATCCAGACTTGCTGTGTCTGTCCTGGCGCAGCTGAAGCTCGCAGGCTGTGTGTGTGTGTGTGTGTGTGTGTGTGTGTGTGCTCCTCGGAGAGACACAGAGAAGAAACGGCTTCAGTCAGAGGCATTGTGGGATGTGGGAAGCCCTCGCTGACTGAGTCAATTCGCCATTCGGAGGCTCCCCATAACTTTAGGTGTGAATTTAAGCTGGTGGATGCGTTGACAGTGTGTGTGTTGGACCTGTTCCGCCTGAAGCAGACCGTCTCGGGAAGAGGGCTGAAAACATGACCAGCTGTGTGAGAAAAATCCAGGCTACCCAGATGTGAACACTCTCTACCCAGTCCAGAAGGAGTAGAGCTGATGCAGGTGTGGAAGCCCCATTATTTCCTGATATTTGGACATCTTGCCTCGTATTGGATAACAGCAACGCGACTCTACCGCTCACTCACATGGGGGAGCTACTGCCGTGTGGTTGAGTTGCTAATGCTAACGGTTAGCTTCTGCCAGCCGAGACGTTCAGTGCTGATTCTGGAAGCTAGAACAACAGCCTCTCCCGTCGCGAGCCATTACGGGTGAGTCCAAGCGATCGCTTGACGTAGATCTGTCAGGTTTTTCTAATCCTCGACTTTCACTGTCTGTTTTCTATCAGAAGCTAATGCAGGACATCGGTGTAGGAGACTATTTTCATCTTCAGCCTGCATGAAAAACGCCTTTAAGGCAATTTTAAAGTGACTTGAAAACGTTTAGACAACGCACCCCAGCTTTAATCTAAAGGGAAGTTTGGTGAATCTACAAGAACGTCGTGACAGGCAAGTCTAAAAATTAAGTTGGTTCAAATCACACATTTATGTTAGAATTAGAATTATTGCATGTTTTTTTATGAAAGAACATTGAAATTTGATTAAATTCTAAATCATTAAGATCATTGTTTAACTTAAATTCCAATTAAACGGGGAAAATGTGATTTTTTTTTTTTTTTGCCGGTGGGCTTGTCGGGGGACTAGAGTTTGAGGGAATGGGATTAAAAACAATAATTTACTGTATAATACAGTCCATCACATTCATATGGATGTTTTTTTTTTTGTTTGTTTGTTTGACAGAACAAAGTGGATTTTAAGGTCTTGTGTTGGAGTGACACGCTGTACCATGTCGGCTGCAGATCCAGGTCCAAGAGAGCACTTCCTGTAGGTGTTATTACATTCATCACAGCTTAAGGAACTGCTTCGCCATCCCAAAGTGTCAAACAATTCAGAACAAGTTGATTCAAGCAGCCAAGAAACAAAATAAAGAAGTTGGAGAGGAAAGACGTGAAAAAACCTCTTTAAAGTAGATCTGCAGCATGATGTGAGTGGGCGAGAGGGAGTTCAGTAGTCAGCTTCTTCTCCTCGTGTCCTCTCCTCCAGCGAGTGGAGAGGCGTGTGCGGTGAGCAGCTTTGGCTGAGGCTCCAGGTCAGGTGGAGCCATCTGGTGGCCGTCGTCTCACCAGATCCGGAAAACGTTCGCTCCAGGGGGAGGAAAGTGCTGAGGATGTGGATGGAAGAGGAGCGGTCGTAGCAAACAAAAGGGGAGAGCTAGTCTTCTGTAAAAGTTCGTGTCCGTGTCATAGTCATTCCAAGTCGCCGCTCTCCGACTGAGAGATGTTGAGCGTGTTTGCGGAGGGGAAGAGGTCCCTTTGGTCCGTGGGGCTGTGGTAGTCAGATGTCAGGTCGGGGTCCAGGAGGGAGGACAGCGTGGCGTGGGACGAGCCTTTCTTCAAACACAGGGAGTAGAAGTTGAGCAGGAGGTCCAGCTTGTTTTCTATGGACTGCACCTAAATAACGAAGAACACAAACACTGGAAGCCTTAAAGGATTCCTCTGATAATCCCAGATCAAAAACTCCTTCCCTTACCTGTTTCTCCACCTTGACTACACGTCCCATCATGCTTAGCTCGTCCAGCACGTCCAGTTCTGGAGGTGTCTTCTCTCCCTTTTCAGGCCGCACCTTCTTGTCGGGCTGGACGGCGCCTCGCCCGATTATCTGGTCCACCCTTTCGCACACAGAACGCCGTTAGAATGGAGAACAAACAGGAAGTGGGTTTTCCCTTACCTTCAGTTCGCTCTGCAAGAAGCGTGTGCACACCAGAGGGGAGGATCAGCTGTTTTTTTTATTTTATAACATTTCTCACCCAAGATTAGAAATATATGTCAACCAATCAGACGTTTTATTTTAGACCTTAAAGTCGTTTTGGCTTTGTTAGTTTCTACAATCTGAATTTAAAATCTGGTGGAAGAGATGGTCTGGAAACAAAACTGGCCCGTGCCACCTGCAGATCCTCCACCAGGGGGCAGCAGACATGTACCGGCTGAGGCAGGTTCTGATGAAGGTACTAATCCTGATGCTCCATCTGGAGGCTTTACGGACAAAAGTGCTTTGATGTACATTTGTGAAAATTATCTAAAAGAGATTAATACATTTGTTATCTAAACAAAAAATGGTTCTTTATTTTAAAAAATGTTTATTAAGCCCAAAGGGAAAATAAATTAATAACAAACAACATGGTAACACTTCCTTTTACAGTCCCCTAATTACAAAGTACTTACATGGTAATTACATAGTAAGTTAGAGTGTATTCTTGTTTCTGAGTTCTTAAACAGTTATTACCATGTAACTCAGATTCTAGTTTAGTTTTTTAATCATTCCCAGTAAATACTGCTTTACACAATAATTACACCTTATTACAATTATACACTTTAATTACACAATAATACACTTTAACTTACTGTGTAATTACCATATTATTACCATGTCAGTACTTAGTAATTAGGGGACTGTAAAAGGAAGCGCTACGAATAACATGTTTTGTTTGTTTTTCCAGTATAGGGGCTAAAATATGACCAGATCAACAGGAAATTAAGTTATTTATAACAAAGGTGGTTAAATGAGTTATTAATATGTATGATTTTTTTTCTGCCCTGTAATTTTCTTTATAATGTAGTTCATCTGGGCTGCTGTAACACAGCTTTAAGGCCTGATATAAATCCATATAGGGATATTTTTTTACACTCAAAAATATAGAATTAAATGACATCTTAAATCATTTTGTGTATTTATTCTCCTCATGTTTTCTGTTGTCTGGACTAAAGTTATAAATATATTTTTTCACTGATGCATTATTTAAATTTTTTTACCGTTTAGACAAAAAGCTGCAGATTTCCCCCTACCTCATCTGTAAGCTCTTGATGCGGCCCAGCATGTCCAGGTGTCCTGCAGAGTACTGCTCTATGACGTCCTTCACGTCATACGGACGCAGCGTCTCCTTAAACTTCCGCTTGGCCACAAGGAACTTCAGGATCCTACAAACACAACAGCATCCCGGTTATCGCTCCGCTCTCGCACACGGAAGCGCCGTAAACCTTTGGAAAAGTGCAGGAGAAGGAAGATATCACACAACTCGACCCGCCGTGAGAATAACTAGATTAATTAAATCCAGCGTGACCTTATCATTCACAAACAGGCCCGTGCAGAGAGCAGTCACCGACCCACCAAAGCATGTGGGTATATTTGGATGATGAGAGCGTCTCCCAGAGACATTTTCTTATCGGGATTTGCTGTTTCAGCAATTAGCTCATTTTCACAGATAGAATAACGCACACCTCTATTTTAGCCCCCGTTTCTGCTCTTTTGTCATTGTGACAGCCGTGTTGGACCACAGCTGCTCAGCTCCCCGGAGCACACGACTCCTCATCCCCGCCCACGCCCAGGAGTGGGGGTGTGTGTAGGGGAAGGGGGGTCATGTTGAGGTTTGTTAACCCAACTGCTGGAACGTCATGTTGGATGGAGTAAAGGAGAAGAAAGGTGTGAAACTTCTGATTCCTTCTCAAGGCCTTGACAGCAGTGGTGTAAGCAGAAATTTTCATAAGGGGGCCAGTGAAAATTTTGGGGTGGCACCAAACTTTGCTTGTAGTTATTCACTGCTCCTTCATTCTTTTTAATAATAATAAATAATAATAATAATAATAATCATCGAACTTATATAGCGCTTTATTAGGACACTCAATGACGCTTGCGTGAACTCTCACATTCACACACTGGCAGTGATGGTAAGCTACTACGTAGCCACAGCCGCCCTGGAGCGCTCTGACAGAGGCGAGGCTGCCATTTGGTGCCGTCGGCCCCTCTGACCACCAAAGACACAGGCAAGTTGGGTGAAGTGTCTTGCCCAAGGACACAACAGCAGAATCCCACCTCTGGTGGGAGCTGGAATCGAACCCATGACTCTCCGATCACGAGGCAACCCGCTCTACCAACTGAGCTACTGCTGCCCCGTTATTAAAATAACAATCTGGCCCTTTCCGCATGGGGCCACAAGCACAATTTTACTTTGAGGGCCCCCATAGAATGATTTTGGGTCCGTGGTCTTGGATGACTCGTTTCTATTTTTATCTCTCATCCTGCCTGGGCTGGCTGTTGCTGACAGTGCTCGGCGTGGGGAGAGAAGCTTTTTTTCATAAGGGTGATTGGTTAGTGCGCCCTGGCCTCTCGGTGCCCTACAAATGTACGCAGGCCGAGCGCCGGCGCTGGTCCCAAGCTTCCAAAACATTCACCTCAAATAAGAGAAAAACAACCATTAGCTTAGAAAGTGCTACTACTAGTTAATTCGTTTGTCGTATGTGTGTGCTCTGTCTTCTCAAACCCATCCTGACAGATAGATGCTCATACTGCAGCGTAGGAGACGCCCGTGTAATACTGATCCAGGCTCTGTTTGAGCTTTCTTCCTGTTAAAGGACAGTCTTTCCCTCCACTGTCGCCACATGCTTGCTTAGCATGGGGATTGTTGTAAAGTCACTGGCTCCATGCAACCTGCTGGGTTTCCTTATATAGAAAATGTTTAACTCATTGGAATAATGAACTGAACTCAATGCTCTGATTAGTAGGTCCAGTTGAAATGTTTACTTTGTAAAGACGACTCTTGCCGTGGGTCTTTGTGTAAAAACGTTGTAAACAGGCATAAAATGAGCACGATGGAGTGGGATGCCAGAAGAGTCCGTGGGTCACAAAGAAAAGTCCCAGTTTTCTGAAAAGCATCTTTGATGCAGAGTAAAGAAAAGTCAGAAGAGTGGTCCACAGCTGGCGTTGCAACCCCAAACCCTCCTCAGCCAACACATTCTCACACCCAAAGTGTCGAAAAATGGAGCATGTGACCAAGCTTCAAAATGTGATGATCAGGGCGTCCCTGCGCGTCGGGAGGACACGTCACAGTGGGCGTCCGTATCCGACGCCCGCAGTGACACGGACATTATTCCTCGAACCTCTAGCGATTTAACCTTCCCCTCACCCCCATCCTAACCTTAACTCAGTAATTTTCAGTTAAGCTTTGCATTCGCAAGCTGGTTAAGGTTAGAATGGGGGTGAGGGGAAGGTTAAGTAGTTCACAAGTCGGTCAAATGTCCGTCTCACCGCGGGCGTCGGATACCGACGCTCTGGCACAGCGCGTCCTCTCCTGACGCTCTGGGGCACCCTGATCGTCATATTTTGACGCTCGGTCACACACGTCATTTTTCGACGCTTAGGGTGTGAGAATGTGTTGCCTCAGCTTGTTGATGACTTCTTTAGGAGTATTTTTGCTTCGCTTAACTTGCAGGTGGGCACAGATTATTTATTTACTTTTGCCAGGGTGGGTCTCAGGTGGAGCTGCGCAGTGGCGCAGTGGTTAGAGCTGTTGCCTTGTGGCGAGAAGGTCCTGGGTTCGCTTCCCGGCCTGGGATCTTTCTGCATGGAGTTTGCATGTTCTCCCTGTGCATGCGTGGGTTCTCTCCGGCTTCCTCCCACAGTCCAAAAACATGACTTTTAGGTTGATTGGTCTGTCTAAATTGTCCTTAGGTGTGAGTGTGAGTGTGCATGATTGTTTGTCCTGTGTGCTTCTGTGTTGCCCTGCGATGGACTAGTGTACCCCGCCTGATTGCCCATTGACCGCAGGAGATAGGCACTAGACCCCCCCCCCCCCCCCCCCCCCCCGTGACCCCACATGGACAAGCGGGTTCAGAAAGTGGATAGGTCTCAGGTGAGTTAAGAAAAAGGTTGAGGGACCGAGGGGGGTGTATCCTCCAAGGGTTCCTTCAAAACGCTGACTCTCCTTCCTGGTCACTAAAATGGCTTTAATAACACGGAGTCGGGTTTCAGCACCTCCACCCCTTCCAGGCAATTTCCAGTCACCGTGCAGCACAATTGGCACGGCTAACTAAAAGATATCACAGCTTCAGTGCTAGGAAGTTGAGATGTAAAATCCCAGCGATGATCGGAGGGAGAGGAAATGTCAGCTGTGCCCCAAAATGCTTGCAAAGCCAATGCAAACATTTTTTTATGCAATTCAGCAAAGGTGGATCCCGGATAGTCTCCAATGGCAGGTTTTGTCGGGGAATTAAAAATGACTGTTCTGCTGACATGAACCCGAGGTGGGCCAAGAAGGATGAGCCGCTGCAGGGACGTGTCTGACTCCTTCTAGATATAAAGACGCGCCTGTTGGGTGGAAAAAGCACCAACAGCTAATTTAACAGATCAATGCTAAACATCAAATAAGAAGGGATTTAAAATATTACAGCTGAAAGATTCAAAAACATGTGACAGATGGTGGCGACATGACTATGAAGGGAAACCGCAACCAAATAATTTATTAAAGCCGGTCCTTCATCAAAGACTGCAAGCTTGCAGAAATTGCATTGTGCAGAATCTGATTTTTGCACGTGGAGAGTTGCAGCGGCGAGAACTCAGGCTTTGTTTTACTCTTCCTCCTCCTCCTCCTCCTCCTCCTGCTCCCTCTGACGCTACATAAACGCAACACCGTCCACATTTATTCAGGCATCCCGACACTGATAAACCACATGCACTCAAAGTGAAGCCTCAGCACTAAAGCCTTCCCGTGTTTCCCCAACATCAATCATCTAACGTGCCGCACACGTGTGTGTGTGTGTGTTAAAACACCTGCTGTTTACACACCTGCACCATCTATAGGAACTCCCTCCCTTCCTCTATTGTCTGCAGCGCAGAGCAGCTGAGGTCAGAGTTATGTGCTGAGTCAAGCGCAAACCTGAGAAGGAGGTATAATGTCCCATCAGTGGCACAGGACTGTCACGCGGTGATGTATCATGGCACGGGCCTGAAATGGGAAACACATCTGCAGCATGTTTACGTCGTTTCAAACTAAAACACACAACTACATTTAGACAAATCAAATTCCACGTGAAGAATCTGCTTGTTGTGGATATTCTATCTTCTAAAACTCAAAAATTAGACGACTTCCTCTAAGAATCTCCGTCATTCCTGACCCTTCTGAGCTATTTTTGGGACAATAATCCATGTCTTGATGCTTTTGCACAGGATGGCTTCTTCCTAGACCATCGTGCATTGAGCGCCGCAGACGGCGTCACGCTACCTTGAGAAATGCTGTGCAGCTCCTGTGCTGACATCAGGGACCGAGGAACGGAAGCACTATAAACTGCTTTCATCAAACCTCCCAGGAGTCCGGCCCAGCACCAACGCCAGATGTTTGCTAGCAATGTTTTTTCTGCCGCCATCAGTGAAAAACTCCTTAGTTATTCTGTGTGAGTGCATACCTGCGTGTGTGTGTGTGTGTGTGTGTGTGTGTGTAGCTAAGGTACCTTCTTTATGAATAAAGCAAAAACATCAGATCTGGACCAACTAAAAGCACGTAATTCCCTTTGGTTTGTGGCTAATCTGAAGCTAAAATCTAAAACTGGATGTTTTAAAACAACGATGTCGGTACCAACCGAGAGTCTTGTTTCGTTTACAGAACCGGAAACCTTCCAAGTCTCAGTTTCACAACACATTTACATTTGTGGAGGCGAATCAAAACAGAAGAGGTGAAACAACAGAATGCGAAACCAGCTGATAAAGAGTGCTGACTCCGAAAATCTCGTATTCAAAACCGTCTTTCCAACCCTTTATTTGGAGTGTTTGACTAGAGTTTGGATTAATGACTCAACATAACATGACATACCTGTCAGGAGAACCCGGGAAGGCTTCCACAAAAATACTGATCTTAAAAAATAAAAACCTAACGCTGCTGCAGTTTGGTTACAATTAAATGAACTTGCACAAACAGTAAAATGGGGACATTAAACCTGTCTTCTGGGCTAAGAAAGGTGAAGACGCTGTTGAACCAATTGTCAAGCATGGCAGTGGTAGTATTATGGCCTGAGCTTTTATTGTTGCACAGAAGAGGTTTTCCGTGGTTTGGGTTGTTTTAAAGTTTTGCTTCAGAGGTTGAGTGAATTATTTCTATTTCCATCCATCCATCCATCCATCCATCCATTTTCATCCGCTTATCCGAAGTCGGGTCGCGGGGGCAGTAGCCTAAGGTGAGAGGCCCAGACTTCCCTCTCCCCAGCCAATTGGGCTTGCTCCTCCGGGGGAATCCCAAGGCGTTCCCTGGCCAGGTGAGAGATATAGTCCCTCCACCGTGTCCTGGGTCTACCTTTAGGCCTCCTCTGTTGGACGTGCCCGGAAAACCTCACCAGGGAGGCGTCCAGGAGGCATCCTGACCAGATGCCCGAGCCACCTCAACTGGCTCCTCTTGATGTGGAGGAGCAGCGGGTCTACTCCTAGCCCCTCCCAAATGACCGAGCTTCTCACCCTATCTCTAAGGGAGAGCCCAGACACCTTGTGGAGAAAACTCATTTCTGCCTCTTGTATCGGCGATCTCGTTCTTTCGGTCACTACCCAAAGCTCATGACCATAGGTGAGGGTAGGAAGTAGATCGACCGGTAAATCGAGAGCTTCGCCTTCTGACTCAGCTCTCTCTTCACCACGACAGACCGGTACAACGCCCACATCACTGCAGATGCAGCACCAATCCACCTATCGATCTCACGCTCCAGTTTTCCCTCACTCGTGAACAAGACCCCGAGATACTTAAACTCCTCCACTTGGGGCAGGACCTCATCCCTGACCCGGAGAAGGCATTCCACCCTTTTCCGAATCAAGACCATGGTCTCAGATTTAGAGGAGCTGATTCTCATCCCAGCTGCTTCACACTCGGCTGCGAACCGCTCCAGCGAAAGCTGAAGTTCACGTTCTGATGAAGCCAACAGGACCACATCATCTGCAAAAAGCAGAGACCTGATCCTCAGGCCACCAAAACGGATGCCCTCCACACCTTGGCTGCGCCTAGAAATCCTGTCCATAAAGGTTATGAACAGAATCGGTGACAAAGGCCAGCCTTGGCGGAGTCCAACTCTCACTGGGAACGAGCCCGACTTACTGCCGGCAATGCGGACCAAGCTCTCACACCGGTCATACAGGGACCTAACAGCCCGTATCAGAGGGCCTGGTACCTCATACTCCTGGAGCACCCCCCACAGGGCCTCCCGAGGGACGCGGTCCAACGTCTTCTCCAAATCCACAAAACACATGTAGACTGGTTGGGCAAATTCCCACTATTGCTACTATAATTCCCATTATTTCTATTTAAGTTTAGATATTCCCTCTTTTGGTTCCGTTTTAATTTGTCTCATCTCATTGCTTCCCTTAGCTCTGTGTCCTTCAGCTCCTCCCACACCTGTCCGCAGTCTGTAAGCCCCCCCCCCGTATAAATCTGCATCATTCTTGTATCATGTCTCTGTTTCAGAGGTGAGCGTATTTATAATAGCTTCGTACTAGGGATGGACAATATATCGGTATCGGTCAGATAAATAAAACCGGGCCGATATTATCAACCGATACGGCGGCGGAGGGGGGGGATGTGTAATTGTTTAGTCATGTGAACAGTGAATGAAATCATCTCAGAACCGTAAATGTGTGTGTTGTGTGTACATAATAACGTAAATTAAGCTCTAATAATTTTCATACTATACAAACTCTTCTGACTTTTGAAGCATTAATGTCAGTATATCAGTATCGACAAATATCGGTTATCGGCCATAACAGTGATCTTAAAATCGCATATTGGTATCGGCCCAAAAATTTCATATCGGAGCATCAATACTTCGTACCGATATATAAATATGTAGTCAGGCCACGACCAATAGAACAAGCCACAGAAATCAATGAGGCAGTCCGCCAAACACTGGGGAAGAAGAAGAAGAAGCAAATAAAGGACTTAAGTACCTCTACCTGCACGTTTCAGATTCAAACAAGTGCCACTCCTGAGCCAACGCCATCTTTGTAGTTTTTTTTCTCTTTCTAACATCTCTCTACAAACTGAGCATTGTGATTGGCCCAACTTAAATTTGTTCGGTTCAATGGTAGACCTGCTGAGACTAAAATGGGGCGTGGCTAGACCGACCTGCAGAGCTAAACCTTTTGTTACGGTTTGTCTAGATTCGTAGGCTCTAAAAACCTGACCAGCCTCTTCACCTGAAGGCAAAAAGACTCAAAGTGGACTGTTTAACTAACCAACTTGCTGTTTTATATTTTATCACCAGCTGCTTTAATAGTGCAGTGAGTAAATGTCTGGGCGTACCTGTGAGGACGTCCTCCAGTGACACACTATCCCAACCTAGCATCAGTGTTCCATTACAGGAAGAGATAAGTTCATGACTAAAGTCGACATCAATATCAGCAAAGCTCCTAATCACATTTTATTACAGTCGTCCTTGTCGTAAATGAACAAAATCTTTTGTCCTTTATCTAGAGACTATTTGTACCGGAGCCTTGTACTTCCTAATGGGCCACCGTATCACGCCACCTCACACATGGACACGTGAATAAAGCAGACTGACGGGGCAACAAGGTCACACAGAGGAACTAACCAAGTACACAGAGAGGCTCAGTTACCTCTCCTGTGTGGACTCCATCTGCTGAATCTGCATAAAATAAAGGCGAAACTAGTTTGACGTGTGTGATCCTAAAAAGACATTTAATTTACAACTAAGTGTACCACAAAAGTCATCTTTTTGGGTTTTTCTGCAGCCCTATCCCCTCCTTTAAAGCTTTGAAATCCATAAAGCTATTAAAAATGATAAAATCTTGAACTGTAACCTAAAAATACCAGAAAGCCGGAGTAAAGAAGCCAATACAGACGTGATGCATCTCCTAACAGTCAATAAGCCAGCTACAGTGGGAGGTGACTAGTTGATTCAATTGTTTTTCAGTAATCTAAACAAGAAGTGCGAAGGACTCAGTCTAATTCGTTTTATGGGAGATGGAGCTTCATTTTATCAAGAACCCCCAACAAGATGCTTGTTTTCACTACAGAAGGTATCTGTTTGTCCAGTTTAACTCCATCCATGATTTCACATCTCTTATATATATATATAACATAAGTTCTGCAACTGAGGGTGATAGATCAGAACCTCATCTGCAAATAAATGAAAATAAATACGGTTTTATTTTTAAATGGACCCAAAAGACAGTAAACAAAAACAAAACAAGAGAATGCCTAGAACGGAACTCTGAGGGACGCCATAATGTAGTTGAGGAAAACGAATCAAGATGCTCAGAGAAAGTAAAAACACACTTAAAAACACCACGTTGGATCTACTGGTTGGGTCTTGGGACACATTAGTCAGATTACAGCTCAGTTTGTATTCTCAGACTGGATATAAGAGCTCTGCACTCCCAAAAGGTAAATCAAGTAAGAATTGGGAGTACATGTATATAAATACATCACCTGACAGCTCGAATCAGAGTCTTCACAGCTGGAATCACGTCCTCCATGGCTACGTCACAGTACGATTTGTCTTCCACGTTCTCCTCCCCAACTCCTTCCACTGAAAGTGGACCATCAGGGACATTACAGATCAACATTACTTATGTTTTTAATGCATTTGCAGTGGTCTCTAGTGAGAATTAATGCTTCGTTTTTCATTCTGTGGGGAAAAAGAGCCTCGGTGCGTCTGGATACTGTGCTTGACACACAGGAGGCGACATGATCTGTTCCAGGGCGAATAGCGAGTCTTCCAGGGTTTTGATTGGCCGTCAGATCGGAGAGAATGTTGAGTTAAGGGAAGTCTTACTTCTGAATTTACTATATATAAAAAAAAAAATATGTGAAAGAGTTCATCTCATATTACAAGCAGAAAAAGAAACGGTGAAATGAGACCACACCAACAAACAACAATTTCCAATGCCGCTGCCTTTTTGTGAATATCTCTATATTCTTTTATAGAAACGTAAAACTCGGAGGAAAGTATTAACCTTTCCTCCATGTTTGCCTGGAGACGTACTGAGAAGCATCCTGTCTCTCATTGGTCAGAAAATAAAACCTTCGCTGATTCGTCCTTGTCCGAGCGATAGCGCTGAAAACTTTCTGGGATCGCGCCACTGGCTCGCCTGTGCACAACGCGTGCACATTAGCGCAAAATTTCACATGTACGTTTTTCGTGTGTCGCTTAGCAGGAAGACGTCTCTGATTGGCTAACAGCAATGTGACTCTACCACTGACTCTGCTCTGCAAAGCTGATGTTTTATCTCCGCAAATAACACAAGCCTGGAGGAGTTCTGCTGTGGTGGAGCTGCTAATGCTAACAGTTAGCTTCTACTAGCTGACATGTTTTTTGCCTTTTCCAGGACGCTAAACCAACAACAGCCTTCGCCGTCGTGAGTCAAGATGGGTGAGTCCGTGAATGTTAAGTGGACTATAAGGTGCGTGTTCTGCTTACCATCAGCAGGTGGGCGTGGCTTGAGGCGAAGGGAGGTGCGGAACCGCGTGCGGTCATTAAAGCTCCAGCTCTTCTGGACCTTCCCGGGGCTGGTGGCTTCTGGGACGTTCTCCTGGCTGGGAGAGCATCGAACACTGGAGCCAGGAGGCAGCGGTGACGCCTTGTTCCGGATGGTTTGGGATGAACGGGAGTTGTTCATCCTGATCCGATCTCTGAATCCCATTTTGCTGCTGACAGCAAAGTTAGATTAGCTCGCTGACACGGTGACGTTGTTTGTGGATGATGGCTGGCACCAAAATTCCCCTAGATAACACTAAACTGATTTATTCTGGACACTGAGGGAAACAGTTAGTCAGTTAATGTGACACAGAAAAAAAAGGGCTATTACGCCGGACATCACACAAAAACAAGGACGCAAACAAGGTTGAAATTCTGTCACACTAAACTAAACAAACTGTTGATTTATTATAAAAATAACTGAACAAATGCACCGCCAAATACTGCAAAAAAAAAAAAACCTGAATCTTCCCTGAGGAATTGCCTCTTGTGCCTATCTTAGCACCTGAATCAGCAAAACCAGCCTGACACCTGATTCTAGACTCGCAGCAGTGCTGGTATGGGGGAATTCATCCACCTAACATCACAGAAAACCACCTTAATCCCTTCAGCAGACTGGGAAAAACATGAAAGTATTGGCTTCAAAGGGGAAGCCACACAAATAGGTGTCTCGTTACGTGCTCTTTACCATTCACAACAATCCAAGTCAGGCAGATATTTGAGATTTACAGGAGAAAAGCTATTTAGCAGCCACTTTCCACAAAAGATTGACTCCTAATGCTGCAGTTATGGCATGCTCTTGTGGACAACTCCCACTCAGCCACTTACAGGCTGTCACGGATCCATAGGCAGCACAACTGTCATGCACCGTGGAGCCATTCTAACCAAGTCGTTCACTCCCACATTTTTCTGATCATAGCCTCTTTGTCTTGTGATACACTTAATCCCGCCATTTAAATAAAACTTTAAATAGATGTCAGTGGCAACTGCATTTCATTTCAGGCAATCCGAAGAGCTTCAGGAAAGACTGAAGGAAACGAAGAGCAGATAGAGTGAAAGACCTTTACATGCTGCAGGGGACAGGAAGTAACTGGTCTGGGTGCATTCAGGACCGTAGACTTCCCCGGGTCTTTGCATGCAGAGAGAAGAACTCAGCATGCACAACTTCTGAATCTTTACACCCAAGAAGACTCAATGAATGAACAAAACAATAAGGCAAAGGAAATGCTGCAAATGTCTCTAACGTTGTTTCATAAACTCTGTTGTATTTTTTTCCCCTTGAGAATTTGGATTAGAGAAAAAGTGTGTATCTAGCTAGCTATGCAGCGAGATGTAAACGTTTGGGCAGCCTTGTTAATCTTCACGATTTTCCTGTTTCAGTTCAATATTTCATGTAGGAGACACACAAAGCGATATTTGAGAACTGAAAGAAAAAAGAAAGGAACTCGGTATTTAGTAGATCCCCCTTTTGCGGAAAGGAAAGCCTCAAGCGGCTGTTTGTGCGGTGGGTGGAGAAAAGACTTCCTCTGCATCACTCTCACGTACAGCGTCTCCTTGACAGTGACTCCATGATGACGCTGAAGGTATCTGGTGCTGGTCTGTGGGTTGACTCTGACTGTTCTCGTCATTCTTCACTTTTGTTTAGCTGAGATTTTTCTTGATCTGCCACTTGGAGCCTTTACTTGAACTGCGCCTGTGGTCCTCCGTTTCCTCAGTATGTTCCTAACTGTGGAAGCAGAAGCTTCTGTCTCCTTCCCCTAAACCATGTCGGTGGATTTTCTTTGACTTCAGGTCATGTGAGAGTTGTTCTGTGACCCCCATGTTGCTGCCCTTCAGAGAATGTTCAAAGAGGAGGGAAACCTGCCACTGGCCCCTTTAAATACCCTTTCTCATGACTGGATTCACCTGAGTATGGAGGTCAAGGGTCACAGAGCTTACTAAACCAAATTTAATTCCAAAAATGAGTTCTAAAGGTTTTGGAAACAATAAAATGACAACAGTGTCCAAATGTATGAACTTTGTTTAAACAATTATTGAACTTTCTGTAAATAAACTTTGTTACTTTCTCAGAAATCACTGTGTGTGTCTCCTATATGAGATATTTAACTGAAATATTTAGGGATGCACCGATACCGATACCAGTATCGGTAAAAGTTAATCGATCCCAGGAACCGATACCGATGCAGTTGTTTTGTGATGATTTCTATTCATATATTTTACTTTTTATCTACCTCACATGCTTTTCCTGTTGAAAGCAGAGAAGAAAATAAAATCTCTATTCCAAATCATTGCATTTTTTTGTGTGTGCGTTTGGTAGAAGTATCGGTAATCGGTATCGGCGAGTACTCAGACCCAAGTATCGGTATCGTATCGGTTTGGAAAAAAGTGGTATCGTTGCATCCCTAGAAATATTTCATCATAACAACCAACGATTTATACAGGAAAATCATGAAGATTAACTCTGCCCAAACGTTTGCATCCCACTGTATCAACTACATAGGACTTTTGTTATGCTTTTAAAGAAAACAAATATAACATTTATTCACTTTAAAGAATTCTCATAACCATTTGTGGGTCAGAATGTAGTGTCTGTTTTAATTTGGTAGCTGTTGAATTTGTGAATAATTGGAAATTGAATCCAAATTTGGTTTCATGTGGCTGCACCAGGACTTGGATCCGGCCGCTACACTGGCCCACAAAGTTTCTGACGTGGTTCAGGCAAGATGAGCAGAACGTGTGGTTAAAGGAGCCATGTTATCGATCTGCGACGTCCGAGCGTGCCTCGTGCACAGAATCGTTGCCATGGATACCTCTGTTTGCGGCCTGCATGAATCCGGAAGAGACCTCGCTTTTTAGAAAGGAGCTGACTGGGGAGACACACACAAGGCAGAGGGAAACAGGGTGAGGGGGTGGTGAGGAGGGAGTGGGTGTGGTGAACACATCCCAGGAACACGGTGAACCCGTGAGGAGGATAAGAAAACGCAGCACAGGAGAACGTGGTGAAAGGGGGTGAAGCGTGGCTTCTCAATATTCCAAACAGCCCGTCTTTTAAAAATGTCTTCACTAGAAAACAGATCAAATGAGTCTGGGAGGCCATTTTTGGATTATGGAGATGCATTCGGTTTTGATTTACTAAATGTGCGCAGCACCTGGTTTTGTTCCAGATTTTACACACGACTTCTCTGAGTCGTCTCCACAAAATGCATCAGCTGTCTTTTAAATCTAAGCATGATCCTCCACCGCCAACACCTCAAAAAAATTACTTGGACTGGAATTCTGCACAACTCTCCCCCAACATGCCGGAAAGTCATCACATGGCTTTCTATTCTGCATGACGTGGCAGCGGTCCTTGCACGGAAGTTGCTGCTGCTGAATGAGCTCACCCTTACTTTTTCTGACAAAATCACGCTGCATCCAAGCTACTGGGTGTCTGTTTGGGCAAACGGCACTAAGCACAAATTGTACGTTTTCACCGTTCTATGCTCTGGGATCATTGTCACCCATAACGCAGCACAAGAGGCATAAAGCATCTGTTTCAAGAGCACATCACCCCCAAATCAACTTTTTTCCTGATAAACTATATCAATGTGTGTCTAATCGTGCTGCAGACACGTGTAGTCAATAGTTTTGTACTTTAGTGCATTTTAGTTAAAATTTTAATTTTCTGCCTAAAACTGTCAGTGTTGTGCCGTCGTCAGGTAAAACCTCTGCACTGCATTTGAATTTAAATCTGCCACCGCTATTGGCTAAGAGGTACCCTAGAACGTTAGCTGGTACCATATGATGTCACAATGTCGTTGTGAGCCTGTGTGTGAGTGTGTTAGCGGCTCCGCCCTCTCGGTCTGCTAGGCAACAGCATTTGTTGCATTTTTCAAACAGGAAGTGGGAGTGGAGTAATACTCTGGTAGGGGGTGACTTGCTCTTTCAGTAAGGATTCAAATTTGGGATGGCACTTCTACATTTTTAAATCATTAATTGACTCTTTTTGCTATCTTGACCATCACACCTTCTTACTTTTACTTATGGGCCATTCCCATCTGTACCGGGTTGGCCCGGGCCGGGTAGCGTAGGTTGTTTACATATCTGGGTGGCTTGGTATTTTACCAGGCCAACCGAGGCTCATTCTCAGCCCTCTTCTCGAGGGGGTCTGCTTCAGGCCGACCAGGGCCAACACACCCACTGCTGACAGCAAATTCACACCTTCCATTAGAGCAAGCCTCTGATTGGTGGGTAGAATCAGCCCACATGGGCTTAAAGAGCAAGTCACCCCCAAATCAACTTTTTTTGCTGATAAACTACATAAACGAGTATCTAATCGTGCTGTAGACACATGTAGTCAATAATTTGGTACTTCAGTGCATCTTAGTTAAAATTTAAATATTCTGCCTAAAACTGGCAGTGTTGTGCCATTGTCAGGTAAAAACTCTGCACTGCGTTTGAATTTAAATCTGTCATCGCTATTGGCTAAGAGGTATGCTATGATGTAAACTGGTCCTTATGATGTCACAATGTTGCTGTGAGCCTGTGTGTGTGTGTATTGGTTTGCGGCTCCGCCCTCTCGGTCTGCAAGGCAACAGCATTTGTTGCATTTTTCAAACATGAAGTGGGAGTGAAGTAAGTTTCTTGTAGGGGGTGACTTGCTCTTTAAGGCAAGGATGTGTGGAATCAACCGGGCCAGGTTGGGGCCGACTGGGGCCGACTGGGGCTACCCGGCCCAGGCCGACCCGGTACAGATGGAAATGGCCCATTAGTAGACCAGAACTGGGCCCTTGGTTCATGTTCTAGACCTTTCTTCCAGTTCTCAGTGAATATTTTACATGCACGTAGCACACTGCTGACCTCTTCTGAAACATTGTAATCCTGGCAGTTAATTCCATAAATACGGGAATTATTTCCCTCTCAAATGCATGCATGATGTCAGTAAAGTAGCTAGCTGCACAGCTTGAGGCACACATGTGCCTTTGCAAGTGAGAGATGAATTAGATGCATGCACAAACTTAAGTTGTTCCTGCAAAAGCTGCACAATCCTTTAGTGAATCAGGGTCTGAGTTAGAAGGGAGAAGCCGGGTTTCATCCTGACTGTGTTCATCATGTTGTGACAAAGGCTCCTGTTTTCCCTTCACATGCTTATTGCATCCATCGCATGCATGAATCTGAGGTAATCTGACACTTGTTACTCTGGTTAAGATTTCTGGTTGATGCCAATAAATCTAGTCAAGGAAAACGACTTTCAGCATTGATACCCCTTCGTTTAAAGGCACACCCCGACATGGAGAACAAACCTGCACGAGGCGTCTGGCTTCCTGAGAACACACGGAGGGTGGATGATGGGTGCCATGAAACAGACGGAATGAACAAAAAAAGAGAAGCAAAAAGGAAGACAGAGAGAGGAAACTGATGAGTGAAAAGTGGGAGGTAGGAGAGATGGCTAAAGAGTGAGCGTAGCACACAAAGACACGTTAAACCGTGTTAGTGAACGGTTAGGTCAACAACACCTCCATGCAGAAAGCTGATCAGAGTTCACTTCTGTAACTGGTGTCTACTTCCTGTCACCTGTCTGGGTGAACTGTGTGACTTGGAGGAGGTGGCGGGGTGCGTACCTGTCCCCCGACAGGTAGGGGGAGCTGTAGGGCCGAAGCCCAGACAGCAGCGTGTGGTAGGAGTTCTGGAGAACCTTCTTGGTGTTACGCTGTCGCTGGAGGTGACTGAACAGTAGCGTCAGTTCTCTGACACCCACGTGCACAAAATAAACAAACAAACAAAAAAACATGACAAATCAACAAAACAAACAATGGAAAGGTAAACACAAAAAGGCCAAAACGATGGTCCAAACGCTCAAAAGAAGAGGGACAAATGTGGGAAATAAGTTTTTATTTTGCGGGGTTGAAATTAGGAATGCACGATGTATCGGCATTAATATCGGTATCGGCTGATGTTAGTCATTTTTAACATATCGGTATCGGCCGATGTTAGTCATTTTTAACATATCGGTATCGGCCGATATGTACGACTGGGCCGATATTAACAACCAATACTTTTTCCATCTTGTTTCTGTTTGTGTATCTGTTTCAGAGGGTGGGGGGGGGGGGGGTGGGGGGGGGGGATGTGTAATTTTTTATCCATGAGAAGTTCTGCAGTATATAGAAATAAAGTTAAAGTCAAGTTAAAGTCCCATTAGTTGTCACACACACTGATGTGTGTGCCAAATTTGTTCTCTGCATGTGACCCATCCCCTGGGGGAGCGGTGAGATGCAGACACAGCCGCGCTCGGGAACCATTTGGTGGTTTAACCCCCCAATCCAACCCCCTTAATGCTGAGTGTCAAGCAGGGAGGCACTGGGTCCCATTTTTTTCTAAGTCTTTGGTATGACCCGACCAGGAATCGAACCCTGATCTCCCAGTCTCAGGGCGGACACTCTACCACTAGGCCACTGAGCTGACATTTAAAAATGTTCAGTCTGTATAAGATCTGATGATAAATCTGATGACTTGTAGAAGCATACATGTCAGCGTATACACTCAACAAAAATATAAACGCAACATCTTTGTTTCTGCTCCGATTTTTCATTTGATGGACTTAAAGATCTAAAATTCATTCCAGATACACAATATTACCATTTCTCGCAAACATTGTTCACAAATCAGTCTAAATGTGTGACAGTGAGCACTTCTGCTTTGCTGAGATAATCCATCCCATCTCACAGGTATGCCACATCAAGATGCTGATCTGACATCATGAGTACCTTATACACAGGTGTACCTTATACTGCCCACAATAAAAGGCCACCCTGGAATGTGCAGTTTTTTGCTTTATTGGGGGTCTGGGGACTCAGAACCGGTCAGTATCTGGTGTTACCACCATTTGCCTCATGCAGTGCAACACATCTTATTCGCATAGAGTTTATCAGATTGTCAGTTGTGGCCTGTGGAATGTTGGTCCACTCCTCTTCAATGGCTGTGCGAAGTTGTTGGATATTAGTGGGAACTGGTACACGCTGTCGTATATGCCGGTCAAGCACACCCCAAGCATGCTCAATAGGTAACATGTCCGGTGAGTATGCCGGCCATGCAAGAACTGGGACATTTTCAGCTTCCAAGAATTGTGTACAGATCCTTGCAACATGGGGCCGTGCATTATCTTGCTGAAACATGAGGTGATGTTCATGGATGTACGGCACAACAATGGGCCTCAGGATCTCATCACGGTATCTCTGTGCATTCAAAATGCCATCAATAAAATGCACCTGTGTCCTCCGTCCATAACAGATGCTTGCCCATACCATAACCCCACCACCACCATGGGCCACTCCATCCACAACACTGACATCAGCAAAGCGCCCACCCACACAACGCCACACACGCTGTCTGCCATCTGCCCTGAACAATGTAAACCGAGATTCATCCGTGAAGAGAACACCTCTCCAACGTGCCAGACGCCATCGAATGTGAGCATTTGCCCACTCAAGTCTGTTACGGCGACGAGCTGGAGTTAGGTCAAGACCCCGATGAGGACGATGAGCATGCAGTTGAGCTTCCCTGAGACGGTTTCTGACAGTTTGTGCAGAAATTGTTTGATTATGCAAACCAATTGTTTCAGCAGCTGTCTGAGTGGCTGGTCTCAGATGATCTTGGAGGTGAACCTGCTGGATGTGGAGGTCCTGGGCTGGTGTGGTTACACGTTGTCTGCGGTTGTGAGGCCAGTTGGATGTACTGCCATATTCTCTGAAACGCCTTTGGAGACGGCTTATGGTGGAGAAATGAACATTCAATACACGAGCAACAGATCTGGTTGACATTCCTGCTGTCAGCATGCCAATTGCACGCTCCCTCAATACTTGTGGCATCTGTGGCATTTTGCTGTGAGACAAAACTGCACATTCCAAGGTGGCCTTTTATTGTGGGCAGTATAAGGTACACCTGTGCAATACTCGTGATGTCGGATCAGCATCTTGATGTGGCACACCTGTGAGGTGGGATGGATTATCTCAGCAAAGCAGGAACGCTCACTATCACACATGTAGACTGATTTGTGAACAATGTTTGAGAGAAATGGTAATATTGTGTATTTGGAATGAATTTTAGATCTTTAAGTCCATCTCATGAAAAATCGGAGCAGAAACAAAGGTGTTGCGTTTATATTTTTGTTGAGTATATATATATATATATATATATATATATATATATATATATATATATATATATATATATATATATATATATATATTGGTATCGGCCCATAATGTCATATCGGTGCATCCCTTTTTGAAATGTATGTCCAATGAATCCTACCTTCTACTCAACATAATTCCACTAAAGTATAGAACAAGCACTATGACACAATTCCATTTCGTTACCGGCTCTCTAACGATGTATCTCAGGATTTCTTTCTCATGTTCCCCTCCTTTTAAGCAAGTAAAAATTAGTCAAATTAATGCATGAACAGAACATCGCATGGAAAGTCTGCAAGAAAATCGGGTCAACGAGAAGAAAAGAGAATAAAGTGATGAAAATAAAGTCAAAATCATTTAGATGATCTGGTTTAATGATGCCCCTGGAGTCTGAAATATTATTAAATATTTCTAGTTTTTGTTGTGTTTTAGTATAACCACTAAGTGATTATTAGATTTATTTCATTATATATCAGAAAGAAAGAAAGAAAGAAAGAAAGAAAGAAAGAAAGAAAGAAAGAAAGAAAGAAATTCTTATACTGACTAATGTTTAAGTCAAGTTGGTGTGATTTTATTTCACTCATTAATAATTTAAAAGTGTAGAACACTTGTTTAATCAGTACATCTGCAGGTCTCTAGAAGATGTTTGAGATCAGAGGAGAGCTTCGTACAATCTTCAGTCTTATTTCCTGATATTTGGACATCTCTCCTCTGATTGGCTAACAGCAACACAACTCTACCACTGACTGTTTGCTCTGCAACGTTGATGTTTTATTTCCACTAATAACACAAACCTGGAGGAGTTCTGCTGTGTGGTGGAGTTGCTAATGCTAACAGTTAGCTTCTACTAGCATGGACGTTCTCTGCTGTTTCCTGGACGTTAAACCAACAACAGTCTTCCCGTCGTGAGTTCAGATGGGTGAGTCCATGAATGTTAAGTGACAGTGTGACGTAGATCTGTCAGGATTTTCTAATCCTAGAGTTTCACCGTCAAGAAGCTAATGCAGGAGATAGGTGTAGGAGACTATTTTTATGTTCAGTGAGCATGAAACACTCAGATTATAATCAGAAATAATCATTTAAAAAATGTCAGTGTTCCACACTTTTAGTTTCATTCTTCACTCTAGCTTTATTCCTGACATTTGGACATTTCTCTCTAAAAAGATAAAACTAACATTTTATTTTTTCATCAAGCGGCCCTGAAACTCTGCCATAAAAGCCAAATGAACTCCTCAGCAAAGACTTGGTTTTGTTTTTGTTTTCATTACAAGGATTTTTAGAAAAGCATATAAAGTGTTTTATTTTTTTATATTTAACCAAAATGAATGAAAATACACAGAAAAAACAGATCATCAAATTGTATATTTATTTTAAAATAACTCTCTTGCTATTACTATCACTTTTACTTACTATAAAACATAAAAACTTTATATTTGTGAAATTTTATTTCTTCTTACATTAGGAATGTTTAACCAACAAATGGCAGCATTTTATTATCTGTAAGAAAAATTATAAAGAAAAATTATAACATTTTATTTTATTCAATTTAATGAAAAATACAGAAAAGAAAAACAATAGTTTGAAAAAATCATAATTTTGTGATACGTTTTCTAAATTTATTTAATTTTTTTTATTATTTACTTGATATTTCCACTAGTTTTAATGTAATATTTCTATAATTAAGGCAGGCGTGAATCTGCGGATCTGCAGCATCCCCTTATTAACGTGACAGCAGGACTTCCCATGTAAGGAAGGTCCGCTGACCTGTTCGTCAGATCATTATTTCTTCGCCATGATCTTTTATCTTCGCATCATCCTCCAGTCATCCAACTGGAACCAGTTAGTGTTCCTGATCATTCTCAGAATATGCCACGTCTGCTCTGGTTTTAAAAGTTAGTACATTTAAGTCCTAGATCATATTTGTGCCTGTTCAACTGTCATTTTGAAGGATTATTATTTATATGTGTTTTTACTACATTATGAGTAGAAATGCTAATAAAAACTCCCAATTACACAAACAAGTGACACTGGAAACATTAGAATCTGGTGCAAAGTCAAATTTATTTCAGTATTTCAACTAGACAGACTATTTAAAGGCTCAGGAACCCTTTGCAGGTGTTTTCTATTTGTAATTACAAATTTTTGTTGATTTGGGTCTTGTTTCATATCACACAGTGACATTTGAATAATTAAAATGCATTTTTTATTAAAAACTTTAGTTTACAGTAATAACCATGTCTAATGTTTGATTCTCTGTCATAATTTTAATTAAAAGTTTTACTTTGAGAGCACATTTTCCTGAACGATTAAAATGCGATTAATTTAGATTAATTAATTACAAAGCCTCTAATTAATTAGATTAAATTTTTTAATCAAGTCCCAGCCCTAGCTAAAATTAATTGAGTTGTGGTGACATAAAAATTCTAATTTCTCTGAGAGAAAATAAGTTTCCAGACAAAGAAATGTAGATGTTTGATTTTAATCTGAATGAAATGATGGTTTAGAAAGTTTGAAGAGTTTGTTTTGTGAGGTTTTCTGGATCAAAAACAGCCACCACAGATTTCTCATTCTTGTTAAATCAGCCTGCAGACAAGAATGGGAAATCCTACCTGAACGAAGGCAGCATGCTGTCGTAGAAATACCACGTCGCTGTTAGATACGAGTGTTTGGCATCTGTGGAATAGAGACGCCATGCAGCCTGGAGACAAAAAGCACAGAAAACGTCAAACTTGAACGTAACTAAACCCGGAATTCAAACGCCCGTCACCTGGATCAGGTTTGCAGCGGGCATCCTTCTCTTCTCAAAGTGCTTCTGCCGGTGTTGCTCTTGGACCTTCAAGGCAAAACCTGAACCTAAAATTCCCTTGGGGCCACAAATCAAACCAAATTCAGGACTTCGCCCTGTGACTCATGAGCCAGAAAGAACCAGGATGTTAGAAATGAAGGACAACTTACAGCAGGGAGGGCAAAAAAGGAGATGCCCAAAAGAGCAAAAGCAGCAGCCAGAACCCGGCCCTGCCACGTTCGAGGAGTCTTGTCACCGTAACCGATCGTGGTCAAAGTTATCTGAGTAGATGAAGAAATGTAGAAGTCTCACATCCACGTGATCAGCATCGAACAGCATCCGGACATTTGGGGCACCATGCAGTACTTACTGTTCCCCACCAGAGGGAATCTGCATAGGTGCTAAAATCTGAGTTGTTGTCTTTCTCAGCCAGGTAGACGAGGAAAGAGGCAAAGATTAGGACCAGGAAGCCGATATACCAGGCAGTAATCAGCTCCTGCAAGACAGAGAGGGGGGATTATTAATCTCACCACTAATGTCAGACATTGAAACATTAGAGTCGTCATGTTAGACCCATCATCAGCTTCCTGTTGCCTTCATTCTCCTCCAGAACACGTGTCATTCCCACCTTGCTGTGAGCATAAACCACGGAGCCTAGAAGTTTCCAGGTGCCTCCGCGCCGGTCCATGCGAACCATACGCAGGATCTGCAGGAAGCGCATGCTGCGCAGGGCCGACGTGGCGAAGATGTTGCCCTGTGTCCCCGCAGCGATCACTGCTAGTGACGCCACAAACACGATGAAGTCTACGGGGAACAGGTTTCAGACGAAAGACACAGAAACAGAAAGTGAGATTAAATAATACGTTTTTAGAAGACGTCACAAGTGTGTGTGGTTTGTGTCGTTCGTTGGTTCACACTAACCTATGACACAGAAAGGCTTCCGTGCAAATCTCAGGCGTCCCTGCCATCCGCGGTATCTGCAGCAGCAGCCGGCGGCCCATATCCTGATGAAGTACTCCATTCCAAACACCACAATCATGACAAACTCCTGCAAATCACACACACACACAATGGATAATCATGGTTTTGTTCATTTGAAACCAATAAAATAAAAAAAACAACTAACACTGATTATTAGGGATGTCCCGATCCGATCACATGATCGGAAATCGACCCCGATCACGTATATACATATGTATGTATATATACACACATATTTATACATACATATGTATATATATATATATATATATATATATATATATATATATATATATGTATATGTATATACGTATATATAAATATATTTATATATATTAATATATATGTATAGATACATACGTATATACATATATAAATATATATATATATATATATTATACATATATATTTATAGATATATAGATATAGATATATATTATGCTTTGTTTTTTTATGCATTAAGTAAATAAAGGTACACTAATCTGTCACTTGAGTGAGTGACTGTAAGTATAACTGTGGTTAATGGGCAGGTGATTGATCCAGAAAGTAAACTGAATGAATGTGAAAGTCGATGAGTGTCGCCATTAAATAACACATAACGATGAGTAAGGTGGGAAGAGAGAGAGAGAGAGAGAGAGAGAGAGAGAGAGAGAGAGAGAGAGAGAGAGAGAGAGGGAGGGAGGGTGTGTTCAAGTCAATTTAAGACGGACATCAACGTCCATTATTTTATCCTAGAGTGTAAAGCATAAAGAAAGGCGGGTGATGACAGAATAGCTTTCAGGATTTAGTGCATCACGTCTTAAATTCCTGCACAGTCAGCAACACCTGAATCCTCCCAGGTGCTTAGCTTAGTGTCTGTGGCTCTGTTGTTAAAGTAAACAACAACTATGTAAGCAAATACACACAAACCGGAGGAAGATGCAGACACACCGAAACAGTGTTAATGCTATGTAGCTCTGTGTGTGTGTGTGTGTGTGTGTGTGTGTGTGTGTGTGTGTGTGTGTGTGTGTGTGTGTGTGTGTGTGTGTGTGTGTGTGTGTGTGTGGTAAAATACCAGGATGAAGAGGCTTTGGTTGGCAAACTTCTGGTGGTCAGGGATGGTTGAGAAGACGGATAACACCAAGCAGCTGAACACCAGCAGGAAACTGGAACAGATAGTCACACATAAGACACTTTAGTGCCCTTTTGCACAATAAAACTCATTAAAACACACACGCTTCACTCTCTGAGTGACTGACCAACGGAGAAAAAACTTTGCTAAGAAGCAGAAACTGAATAGTTGATCCGTAAATTAATAAAAACTGCAGAGTGGTGTTGAGTCAGTGTTACCAGAGCGTCCCGATGCACGAAAATAACAAATACATTACAAACGATTGCACATGTAGAACTATACATGTTTTGTGGTGTAACTGCGCTCTTATTCAGACTGATACGTTGCTGTTTTGTCCAACTTATTCATGCCATGTGGTGAAAGTAGCAGGTGGGACTGTTGCAGCAGAGCCGCAGGTGCTGCACCCATCTGCATGCACACCGGGTGCTGACATCATATCTTGTTGTGCAGACACAACAGGACGGAAAAATGGGAGCAGCAGCTGTGGAAAAATAAACATATTCACCTCTAAGTTTTTCTCTGATTAAAAGATGCAAACATTGACCGTCTTCGAGGAACATTTCAGGCAAGGATTTGGGATTAGCACAGAGAGGAAGGCGCAGAGAAACAAGCTAAAGACCGCAGGATGAAAACATGATGCTTTTAGCTACAGAGATCGTTGTAAGTGAAGTCTGTTGAAGAGTTTATTACTCGTTTTGATATGCTATGCACATCTGTTTTGGATGATGTTGCTCCCTTTAAGATTAGGAAAGGAGGGCATAGGGCAGAGCTGTGGAGAGCTGAGCGAAAGTGGAAGCAAGACAAACTTATGTGTCCTATGAAATTCATAAAAAGTCACTTTTTGATTACCAGGAAGTGGTATGATGGTCTAGGATCAGATACCATGCCAAAATTATGGAATCAAATTGTCACGACCCACGCACTCTCTTTAAGGTAATTGAACTGGAAACTGCAACTTCTGCCTCCAGGTCCACGGCTGCGATGGCCGGGACATGTGAAGATTTTCTTCCCTACTTTGTGGGCAAGACAGTAATGATTTGCACTGCTATTGTAGGCCGCACTCCTGTTTTTGTGGCACCTATGCCACTTAGGGCAAACCTGCCAGCCTTCCAGACTATATCTATGACAGAGCTAGAGGAACTCATTTCTAAGCAACAACCTTCTGGTTCCCCTTATGATGCTCTTCCCCCAAGGATGCTTCAGGAGGCTTTTTCTGTTCTGGCCCCTTATATACTGGTTATCTTAAATACCAGTCTGGCCTCTTGTGTGATTCCCCTTACTTTTAAGAGGGCTGTTGTACGACCACTGCTGAAAAAGAAGGGGATGGAGGAAACTGTGTTAGCCAATTACAGACCTATCTCACATCTACCTTACTTATCTAAGCTGCTTGAGAGGGTTGTATATTTACAGCTGGTTGCATTTTTAGACACGAACTCTGGTAGATCTTTCAGTCAGGGTTCAGAGCAGGTCACAGTACCGAGACTGCACTTTTAATGGTTCTTAATGCAGTTTTTTTAGCTTGTGACGGGGGGATGCTGTCATTCTTTTGATGTTAGATTTGTCTGCGGCCTTTGACACGGTCGATCATGACATACTTTTGGATCGGCTACAACATTGGGCGGAAATTACCGGTGCAGCCCTACAATGGCTACACTTCTACTTATCTGACAGGAGTTTTTGTGTCAGTGTAGGTGAAACCTCCTCGACCTGGGCGGGACTCAAATGGGGTGTGCCACAGGGGTCTGTACTGGGTCCGCTTCTTTTCGCCATCTACTTACTACAGTTGGGGAATCTTCTTCGGCGGTTCGGCATGCGTTTTCATTTTTATGCTGACGACTGTCAGATCTACCTCCCCCTTCAGCGGGGGGTCGATGGGTCAATATCAAAGCTTGTAGATGCCTTAGAGGATGTGCGCTCCTGGATGGCTAGAAACTTTTTACATCTGAATGACGTTAAGACTGAAGTAATTGTACTTAGCCCTGGCATGTCTACACGCCCATGCGATAAACTTTAGCATCCAACGTGAAGACCACCATCCGAAATTTGGGAGTGCAACTGGACTCAGCCCTTAAATTCGACGCGCAAATCAACCAGGTTGTACGCTCGTGTTTTTTTAACTTACGCCGACTAGCCAGAATTAAGCCCCTGCTGTCCAGAGTACATTTAAAGACTGTGACACATGCTTTTGTTCCTTCAAGGCTCGACTACTGCAATGCACTGTATGCCGGCCTGAGTCAGGGTGCGGTAGCATGCTTGCAGTTAGTACAAAACTCAGCCGCTAGGTTCGTGACAGGCACTAGGTGCAGGGAACATATCACCTCTTTGTCTGCATCCCTTCATTGGCTGCCTGTGCAATACAGGGCAAAATTCAAGGTCTTGGTACTGGCATGCAAGGCCTTGCAAGGAACTGCTCCAGCATATCTTGGCAACCTTTTGCATAGGCATGCCCCCTCGCGGGCCCTTCGCTCGGCCGGCAGGGAGCTGTTGATTGTTCCACGCACTAAGTGCAGGTCACGGGGGGACCGTGCGTTCTCGGTGTTGGCACCTGCACTTTGGACCAGTTGCCTTTGGTGGTGCGTCACTCACCCTCATTGGGGGGTTTTTAAGACTCGCCTTAAGACCCATATTTTGTCGAGGCATTTCAGGATTAGCAAATTTTACCCGGTTTCGATGCCCCGGCCTCTTAATCTTTTTCAGGATTTTATTTTTTGCTTTTACTCTCTTCTTTTAATTGATTTTATGTTGGTTTTACGATTGTTACATTTTGGTTTTATGTTTTTATTGTGTTGTGTTCAGCACCTTGGGCGTCTGCATTGGTCGCAGAAGGGGCTTTATAAATAAATGAAATGAAATGAAAGAATTCCTTTACTTTTGATCAAACTGGTTAATTATTGGAGTCTGAACTCAGATTGGCAGTTTTAATTATAAACTTTGAACAGGCATCTGGGTAGCGAGTGAAGTGATGCGGAACGGTCAGAACACCTCCTGGACGCCTCCTAGGGGAGGTGGTTCAGGTATGTCCTGCTGGCAGGAGGCGCCTGGGTCGACCCAGGACACACTGGAAGGACTGTTAGTCCAGCCTGTACAGGGAAAGCCTCGGGGTCTCACTGGTGGAGGTTGCTGGGGAGAGGACGGTTGGAACTGCTCTGATGGATAAGCTGGTTAATCACACAACAAACGAGCAGAACTATGAACATTTTATCACATGTGAACTGAAACATGATCAATATTGATGTAATTGTGTTATTTATTATCAGGTCTGACCATGTTTTGGTCTAATTTCATTTTGAGTCATTTAGTGGCAATTATAGACTTAAACCCTTATAGATTATTATTACTAATTTCTATTAAACCCCTTCTGGCCTTAAAACCACCAGAGGATCAGGATTAGTACATTCATCAGAAACCTGCTAAATCCAGTCCTGTACATATCTACTGCCCTCTGGTGGATGAAGCAGGAAGCAAGGGCCAATTTTATTTTTGTTGTTGTTATATAATTACATAACATTACATTTTTTTTCTTTTTCTTCACCGTAACGTGGCACAAATCTACCAGACTAAACTTTTTTGTTTAGAAATAAAAGCTCAGACGGGGTTTATGCTGACGCTTAGTCAGGCACTCTCGGGTTTTAATTAAAAGACAAGTGTGATCTAGCTTGTTTTCAGCTCCCAGGTTAAACACCAGCTGGCATCTCTGGCTAAAACACTAAATCTACTTTTACTTACTCCCATAAAGTAATTCGACCTAAAAATAAAAGAATACCTGATTTGAGAATGCTTCCTATAAATAAAAAACATTTAAAACTGTGTTTTCAGTCCTAATCTTACAGCAGCTTGTCAAAATGAAAATTGCTGATGTCCCATCAGGACTTTCCATTATAAAAAGAGCAGAGACCGGCAGTTCGGCTGGGACAGAAATTACTGTCTTGAAGAAGTAATGGCCACTTCAGCGTGAGCGCTGCCACAAAATAAAACAACATAAATTCTGAATAATTATGCCTCATCTTTAAGGTACTGTCACGTTTGTATAAACACCCATTTTTTTCCAAAGGGTCATGTTAAATATTCCACTCAATGCAATATAAATAACTAAATGTATTTAAATAAATCTTGTTGTATTTTAAGTTAGTCAGATGTGTTCAGTTTTTTGCACTGGTTTGAGGCAGTAGAGGCTATAATATAATGTAAATTATTAATAATATAAAAATAACACTATAAATATTTAGGTAAAATTCATATAAGCTAATAAAGTGAAACATTTAATTAAAAAATTAAGCAGTTTTTTAAGTTAAAGCTGGGGTACGTAGTTTAAAAAATATAAAGTGATTAAAAAAATGCTTAAATGTGACAATTTGACTCTGTTTTATGATATAAAGTTGGTAATCTTTTATCATTTTTGTGTACCTCATCTCTACAGCACAAAAATAATAATTTATGTTAGCCTGGAGCCTTGACCAATAGAGGTGCATATCCGTGTGATGCTCAGGTATGGTTTTTTTATGTGACCACTGTTGTTAAAATAAAACGTTTTGGTGACGCTTCCTTTTACAGTCCCCTAATTACTAAGTACTTAAATGGTAATTGCATAGTAAGTTAAAGTGTATTATTGTGTAATTAAAGTGTATAAATGTAATAAAGTGTAATTCTTGTGTAAAGCAGTATTTACTAGGAATGATTAATAAAATAAAAACTAGAATTGAGCCTGAGTTACATGGTAACAACTGTTTAAGAACTCAGAAACAAGAATACACTCTAACTTACTATGTAATTACCAAGTAAGTACTTAGTAATTAGGGGACTGTAAGAGGAAGTGTTACCAATGTGTTTGTGTTTGTATGATGGGATTCAAGTGAGAACTTTTCCTCTGAATCGAGATCAGCTTTGATGTTTAATATCTGATGCGTATAAAACAGGAGCTCTAAGTCAGCTGGAAACCCACAGTAGGATGTAGAAAAGGCAAGAAACAACATGAAAAAGGCTGCGTCCAGCAAGGATAACGCTAATCAGAACAGACTTACATTACTGCTCATCAAC